AGGTCTTGTGATGGCAGCAACATCATGCAGTCAATGAGTAGAGCAAAACAAATGGAACCCAACAGGGAATGGGGACTAGAATGAGGACCTTTGAGATCCACTCTTCAATTCCTAATAGGCTTCCAGATATTTCTCATATGGGCCTCAATGTCAAGGTGAGGGTGGGACTTGATGGGAGTTGGCCCAAGATTTAAGAAGATGTATTCTCCCTTCATCAGCCCTTCTGACCACTTGGGTCCTTCCAAAGTTTCCCCAGGGGATGGAGCCCCACTTTCCCTGTGGGATGTAAGTGGGAGCCCAAGGTGCCTGCAGACTGGGTTGTCTGTCCTTTGAAATGAGCAGCGATGTCTGTTCCCTCCTATGTGCTAGGAGGCTTACGGACTTAATACAGCTGTTGAGAAATAAAGCTATTTAAGTGGGGAGCATTATATTTTGATCCACATGCCTGTTTCCAAAACTCCCTTGTAGGCACCATCAGGCAAAGCCTGTCAGGTTTTGTGATTTTGTTTTCCTCCAGAAGTCTGCTAAAATCAGTTAAATATGACACATCTTCTTTCATGTCATTGGATTTTGCTTTGCCTTTCCACTAGGGCTACCATTTTGGAAGCTTTGTGAGTACAATTGGAATGGGCTGCTCCCATCTCCCTTGCTTTTGCTTACCATTCAATGCTCTTTTTAAAGAACTGGTCCCAAATGAACTTCTCAAGCTTAGCTCCAGGTACTTTTTTTTTTTTTTTTTTTTTTTTTTTTTTTGGTACTGGGGATCGAACTCTGGTCCTTGTGCTTGCAAGGGAGGCGGTGGTGGAACCACTGAGCTAAATCCCTGGGCCATATTTCTGTTTTTTAAAATGAAGCAAAGGCAACTCTTTTTTTAGTCCAGGAACCCACAATTACCCCTCCCTTTTGCCTGTTTGGTATTTCATTGTCTTTGTCTGAAATACTTTTTGTTCCCTTCCCCATCCCAACCTTTCCTGTACATGTGCAAAGTCTACCTGGCCTTCAAACCAGGGCAGACGCCACCTAGACCACAAAGCCTTTCCAGAATATGGGCGGAAGTCATCAGAACAACCTGGGCTCGAATTTCAGCTCCACTAGTAACAGCTGCGAGACAGAGTAGTAACTTAATCTCTCCGAACTTCATTTTCCTTGTCTGAAGGAGGAGGTATTAATTCCCACCTCACAGTGTGGCTGAGGGTAGACACTACATAGGTACGTGCCTGCCACCTAGGAGTTGCTTACTGGTAGGGGCTATCCCTCTTTGCCTTCCTAGGAAGTGGTGTGCTCAAGGACATCCTGGCCATCATCCACAGGGCCCCCTCCACATCCTCCCCCTCCAGATCATGGGCCAAGCTCTCATTTGGTAGCTCCACTCTAGTTGCCCATCTTACCTTACCTTTCCATATACTTGTCACCTTCTACATTCATGCATAATTCACTTGCTATGCTTATTTTCTGTCTCTATTAGACAGTGACTTCCAGGAGAACAGGGAATTTTGTCTGTTTAGTTTTCTGAGGGTAACTTCTCAATCAATATTTATAGAGTGAATGAATGATTTCTATCTGCCCATGAGTCCCCAGAGCCATGGAGAGGTGTTCCTGGTACTGCCTAGCTCCTAGTCCTGGCTTGACCCCTGCCCATCTCCTCTCTGTCCTTTGGGCAGCTCCCTGCCAGCCTCGGGACTGTCCCATCCTGTGGACCTGGTCCCTACTCAATCCTCAGTTGTGGAGTCAGCCAGCCAGAGAGCAAACAAGGAGCCATGCAGACAAGAAATGGGGGCTACTGAGACTCAACTCTTAAGGGCCCTCAGGACAAGATCAAAATCCTGACATGTGTCACAGGACACATCTTCCTCCCCATCCCTTCCTGGAACCATCGCCTCCTGTGGCCTTGTTCTCAGTGTCTTTATTCTGGTTCCCAAATAATCCTCTCTGAAGAGCTTTTCCACCTGCAGTCACTTCTTGCTGGCCTCCCTCAAAGCTATGAACCCCTGAAGGAAGTTTCCAGGCCTTACTAGCCTTGCATGGCAGAGAGAATGGACCCAAAAAGGCACTGCTGAGAGAGAGGGTGAAGAGGAAAAAGGAAGGAGGAAGTCCAGAAAGAACACTGGCTTTGGAATTCGAATGACCTGATTCCAGGACCAGCTGGGTTACAGTTTTGTGTGACACTTTACTTGTCTGAGCCTTCCATTTCTCACCTCTAAAATGTAGATAATAATATAGCTGTCTCCAGCCTGCTGGAATAATTGCACATGATACTGATCTGATACTTAGAAAGGTGCTCAGTAAATGGCATCTTTATTAATAATGACATGAGTAAGGCAGGTGTGGTGGTCCACACCTGTAATCCCAGTACTCTGGGAGGCTGAGGCAGGAGGATCACAAATTTAACTTAGGCTAAGCAGCTTAATGACCTACCAAGATCCTGTCTCAAAATAAAAAAATAGGAAAGGGCTGGAGATGTAGCTAGTGTGAAGGCCCTGGGTTCAATCCTAAGTACACACTCCTTCTTCCCCCCAAAAGATGACAGAAACACTATTCAACATCTGTCTTTGTTTAGCTTCTATCTGCACAGTACTTCTAAGGCCATTGTCTTATTTCATTTTTAGAGTAGTTCCTAAGGAAGGAAAGGTATGTGTGAGAACTGAGAGTAGAGAGATTGAGCAAATTAACCAAGGTCGCCCAGCCTTGTAGGATGAAGCTGAGACTAGATCATGCAGCATAATTCTGCTGTCTCTCTATCAGACACTGCCCAACTCTGGCTTGTATTTCAGCTGCTTAGACCTAAATCATAGCAGACTATAAAGAGCAAAGCTCATGCCCAATTCAATAGGTTCTAGGGCAGAGCTTGTCAGAAAGCAGGTAGCTGGCAAATGTTTGTTAAGTAAATAAGTACACAAGCTTTCCTACAACACACTCAGTTCAACCAATTCCCTCCAGCTGCTCCATTTAGAGTGATATCCCCTTTTGGCTGGGTCAAAGGTATGCTCTGGAGAGGCAGGGCTCCCTATGAGAAATAGCCGTGAGCATAACTAGAGTGTGTCCCTGGCTCCATGGAGAGAGAAGCCAAGTGTGTCCTGGAGCCACAGCCCCTCTTGGCAGCCCCAGTTACCTCTTTTCTTAACCCCTGCTTAAGCATCCACTGACCTGTAACACCTGGGTCAGAAGCAGTGCTAGAGAGAGCACTTTGTGACCAGGCACCTGGGATCCAAGCTTGGCTCCGCCCAGCAGCTCTGGGCCTTACATGCCCTCTCTGAGGCTCTTGAGCAGCAGCTGGGTAACCAGGCCCAGATTCTAGGATAAAGTCCAGACTTGGGTCTCTTGGGCAGGCAGAACATGGGACTGGACACTCCTCATAGTCACTCAGGGGAAGTTTTATTTACCAAGGTTCTACCTGAAATGTTTCTCTCATTTTTGAAGTCCCAAGCCTCTGCTTTACATCTGCTTTTTTTGAGTGTAAGCCACATGACAGAATGAGATGAGTCCGATGGAAAGAGCTGGAGAACCCAAATTTTTGTTCCAGTTCAGTTCTGAATGTGTTTTACTCTGACCAAAGTTCATCTCTTCCCTGGGACAAACCATTCTGAGGCTTAGGGAAACATTACTGGGAGGCAAGAGCAAGGACACCCACTTCCTTCCCAAAGATCAACATCCTATTCAGAAACAAAGACCCTTGGATTCTGACCAGGAGACCACTGTGATTCTTTTGATAAGACAACTAACACACAGAAACTGTTTCCCCATCCATACAGTAGGGAGAACATATACTTTTCTAACCTCCACCCAGGCTACCAGGGGCTCTGGTAATATCACAGATGTCAAGGTGACAAGGAAGAGTGCCTGTTAGGAATACAAAGACCCATTGCAGAGAGAAACAGTTTGTGGTGGCCATAAGATAGCAAAAGCAACAAGGAAACTTAACAGTGTCTTTCTGCCCCTTTTATCTTATCCAGACTACTAGGTAGTCCTAATCCCAGTGCCCGTCAGCCTAGCACTGCATCATGAACTGATTCCAGCATCACACACTCTAGATCAAGCCACCTCTGAAAAAGCCTATGACCACATGAGACTTTGGGGGGACATGTAGACACAAACCATAGCACTCAAGTATATGTCTAAGGAGTTGGAATGCTAGGTCTCTGAGCCTTTTTTTTTTTTAACAAAGCCCAAATATGATGGTTCTTAGATGATATTTGTATCATCAACCAGGAGCCCTCAGGCTGGATGAATTTTCCAGAGGCCCGAGAGAAGTCCAAAAGTGTGTTAGGAGTCTATGCACCAAATCAGAGGGGCAAAGTCAGACAGCACCAGGGTCTGCTGTGTGCTTGGTGCCAACCTGTGGCGTTATCTCCTCCAATGCAAAAATAACTCCCAAGAGGCAGGCAGCACCAACCCATTCTACAAAGGAGAAAAGTGAGTCCCAGAGAGGGGTGGATCCTCAGCCTACAGTAACCCTGACTGTGATTCTTTGAGAATCAGTTGATATGTTTATCCCCCTTTTTTATTCACATACAAATAGAAAGACTTGATATTTTGTCTGAACCTCAGTTTTTGCCTCCTCCTCACTGAGTTCCTCAAGCTGATCTGGTCTCTCCTCTTGCAAGGAGATGCATCAGAAAGGATCAAGCTGGGTGTAGCATCCGTGAACCAGGCTGGCATCAGGATAAAAGGGAGTGGAAGTCGTTTGCAGGTGCTTAGGGAGGAAAGGGACAATCAGCTCTCAATAATATCAGTTAACATTGCTCAAGATCATTGCAAATGTAATTAGGGAATTTTAAAGGTGAGCGATGCTTCTATTTAGAAGTGGGAAGCTTTGTGTGGGGAGGAAAACTCAATGGGTATTCTGAGACAGAGTTCCTGTCAGTGACAGGGACAGAGCATGTAGTGGAAAATGCCCTAATCGTGGCCCCAGGAGATCTGGGTTTAGTCTCTATTTAAAAATACATTGATTGTATGATCATGGACAAGTGACTCTGACTCCTTGAACCTCTCATTTTTCTCAGGTGTAGAGGCAGAAATGTGTACTGTCACACAAGCCCATGTATGAAGACTTGGACTGTTTGGCACAGACAAAGTGCTCCATCAATGTTAAGTTGTTATCGATGAGAGAGAATAAAAGTTCCACATGGTTGACATCATATGAGGAAAGTGTAGGTATCAAAGCTCTCCTTGAAAGGCACAATCCTCTTGCTTATAAATAGTGAATGATAACTAATGATTCACACTATCCAAGCCTCAACTGTACCTTGAGATCAAAAGATTAAAATGATCCCTGGAGATTTATTGGCAACAACTTTTGTGTAGTGAATTACTCATTCATATTCTGTTTATACTTAAGAACCTATAGAGATAATGCAGCTCCAGGGTCAGAAATTCTAACAATACCAACGATGATGATAACGATAATAATAATAAAAAATTCATGAGCCCTTAAATATGCCAGGCACTGAGCAAAGGATCACACAGATGTTTTTGCGTTTAATTCCTGTCATCCCCATAGAAGTGGGCATTAAAATGATTCTTGCTTTCGCAGGGGGAAGCTTAGGCATGGTAAAAATAAGCAACCTGGGGCCAGGGATATAGCTCAGTGGCACCATGCCTGCTTGGCAAGTGCAAGGTCCTGAGTTCAATTCCTGGTACGGTGGCAGGAGGGGGAGAAAGCTGATGTGTCAGTCTCAACAGGGAACAGAAGCCACCAATATGGCCCAAACATAGGAAGAAAAGGTGCAAAGTGGAAGGGTAAGTGGGAGGGTGGAGGAAAAGAAAGAAGGGAATGGAATTAATATAAGAAAATGAAAAAATGGAAACAGAGTCTTTGTACATATGGGGGGATACAGGGGTTAAAGGGAGGGCAGCGAAATGAGGAAGAAATAAGAACCAGGATGGGTTATGTAAGTGTGCAAACTTCCAGTGATGAATGTCATTATATTGTATACCTTAAATGTGCCAATAAAATTAACTAAAAAGAGAGAGACTTAAAGGAAAGGATATTCACAGAGGAGCAACAGGGATAAGGGAATAAACAAGAGATGGTGAGAAGCCCAGAGGCTGGCCACCGTGGAGGCCAGCAAAGGGAGGCACGGATGACGGTGACCATTGTCAGCAAGGACTGGGTCTGTAGGGGACAGAGGCCCAGGAGCCACAAGCTCGGAAAGCTAAAGCTACTATCAGAAAGCAAGTGTTTAAGCAGGGAGGAAGTCAAGTGACACAATGATACTCTTCCCCTTTCACCCCTCAGTTGCTTGCCAGTGTCTTCTACAGGATCACCTGGGAGCCAGCCAGCAAGGGAGCCTGGGCGATACAGTCTGCAAGACCAGTCCATCAGGACACAGAACAAAACAGAAAAGGACAGAGATAGAACTGGGGTCTAGGAAGTGGTGCAAATGGAAACCATCGGCACATTTGCCCAGTTGCACTCTGTTAACCAGATGCAGAGAGGTCTAAGCACTTACCAAAGCCTGAGAGGCCACATAAGGCATCAGTAGGGCTCTGTAATGAACAAATTCCCCATGCCCTATCCAAAGAAGGCCGCTGCTGTTCAATTCCCTCCAACTATTGCCAGTGGCACCCAATCTTCCAATTTTTCAGGAGAAGTAAAAAACCTTCCATCTTTGAGCTCTGGTAAATTATTTCAGTTTAAAATCTTAATGGTGTCAGTATGGTGGTGCCAGCATTTGGGAGGCTAAGGATGATCATGTGTTCAAGGTCACCCTGGCCGACATAGTGAGTTCGAGAACATCCTGAGCAACATAGTGAGATCCTATCTCAAAAGCAAACAAATATATTGATGGTGAGTTGATATGGTAAACTGTGGTACATCCATGAAATGAAATGTTATTCAACAATAAAAAGAAGTAAACTGTCAAGCCACAAGAAGATATAGATGAAAATTAAATGCATATTGCAAAGTGAAAGAAGCCAATCTGAAGAGACTCCATCTTGTCCGAGTCCATATATATGATATTCTGGAAAAGGCAAAAGTACTGGTACAGTAAAAAGATTAGTGGTTAGCAGAGGCTTGGGAAGAAGGCAGGTGATGTAATGCATAAAACACGAGTGATTGCTGGGGATTTAGCTCAGTGGTGCCGCTGCCTGCCTTGCAAGTGCAGTTCGATCCCTGGTACAAAAACAAAACAAAACAAACCCCCTCCAAAACAAAAAACCACAAAAACACACAAAAAAAGAGTGATTTTAAGATAAACTTCTTTATGCTACTGTGATAGGGAATGCATGACATTATGTATCTATCACAACCACAGATCTCTACAAAACAGAGAATGAACCCCAGGGGCTGGGGTGTAGCTCAAGGGAGAGTGTGCACCTAGCATGCTCCAGGGGTTCGGTTGCATCCTAGTACTTAAAAGGAATTAACCTAATATAAAGAAATTGTGGCTTTTAGTTAATAATAATATAGCAACATTGACGTATTGACTTAAAAAAATGAAAAAAGTGTCACAATAACACAAGATGCTGATAATAACGGAAGCTAGGTGGGAGTAAGAAGAGGTGTATAGGAACCTGTTCCTTCTACTCAATTTACCTATAAACCTAAAATTGCTTTAAAATGTAAAAACTTTCTTTTTTGGGAGGGTACTGGGGATCGAACTCAGGTCCTTGTGCTTGCAAGGCAGGCAGCAGAACCACTGAGCTAATCCCCAGCCTAAAAACTTTCTTAAATTTGCTGAAAATGTATTGTGAAATGAAATGTGGGCCAGATGGAACACATAGGTGCCTGCAGAATCCAGCGACCAGTTTGTGACTGCTGATGTAATCTAGCTCGCTTATTTTACAGATAGGGAAACTGAAGACCAGAGAAAGAAAGGTCCCTATTAGTTGAAACTCAGGGTGAGACCAAAGCGTCCCATGTCAGAGGGCTGAGAATCTGCCCCCATCCCCACCTAGAGGCCTGCTGCTTGTGGAAGAAGAGGGCCTGGGGACAAAGGCCATCGATGTATTTTTGACTGCAGGTGGCCAGGCTGGGGCCTGAAATGCCCTGGCAGGCAGCAGAAGCCTCCAGCGGCCCAAAGGCTCTCATGTCTGTGTTTATTTAGCCAGAGACCAGATGCCCTCCCAGCTCGGCTGGCTCAAACTCACTGAGTTTCATGCAGAAAGGAGTGGACACTTGTGTCCCTTTTCTGTGCCTTAGATGGAGGGGTCAGGGCTGCCATCTGCATGGCAGACTCAGAGCTCAGGGACTGAGGTGGATAATATTTGATTTGGGGGGAGTGCTAGGAGACACCTCTGAACCCCTTTATATCTCCTCCCATCAGGGCTATGAAGAAGGCAAGACCGAGTTCATTCTTTTCGTTTCATAAATATGTAGACTGTGACAAAGAAGAAGCTAAGTGAGTGCCTTATGCCAACAGCTGAGGAGGGCAGGCCTGAGGTTTGTATCCAGGCTTTCTTTTTTTCTTTCTTTATTTAAAAAAAAATTTTGGGGGGGTTGTTTGAGACAGGGTCTCACTATGTAGTTGAGACTGACCTGGAACTCACTATGTAGCCCAGGCTGGTCTCGAAGTCACAGCGATCCTCCTGCCTCGGCCTCCCGAGTGCTGGGATTACAGGTGTGCACCACCATGCCCAGCTCAGGCTTTCTTTTAAATATTGAAAATGATGTTTGGGGAAAGACAAAAGAGAACTGTATAAACACCCCACTATAGTTGGTAAATGTATTTCTCAGAGGAGTACAGGTTAACATTCTGAAACTATTTTGTATGAATCTGAGGGTTGAACAAATCAGTAAATAAATTGTGGATAATGGCAGCCAAGTTTCTCATTATCAGAGGAAAAAGAAGGCAGATATGAGCACAGGGGAAGACCTAGATGAAACTTGTGTGGCTAGGTAGAGTTAGAGGTACCATTTGAATTCATACTTATTTTAATATATATACAGATAGATACAGAAATAAATATAGGTATGTGTACATGTGTTAGCACATGTATATACATTAATACACACATACACAGTATTTGTATGCATATATAGGCTGATCTCTTAACTAAAATGCTTGAGACCAGAATTGTTATTTTTGAGTTTTAAATTTTTATTAGTGCATGTTTATGATACATAATGAATACATTCATTGTAGGATAGCTTTTATGACTTTTTAATATCTGAATAGACATTATCAGTTGAACATCCTTAATCCAAAAACCTAAAATCCAAAATTAAGCCCATATTTTACAGAATCATACTATACCAATGGTAATTTCTTGGTTTTGAACATTATGCTCTGGTTAGGTAAGATGCTAACATCAGGGGAAAGTAGAGGGAAATATATATAGGAACTCTCTTCTAATTTCTGGAATTCTTTGCCAAATAAAAAACTTTTTCAAAAGGCCCGGGATTTAGCTCAGTGATTCTGCCACCTGCTTTACAAGCACAAGGCCCCAAGTTCAATCCCCAGTACCCCCGCCAAAACAAAACCCAAAACAAAAACTTTTTCAAGTAAAAACTTAAATAAACAGATTGGTAACCAAGATGGAGGAAATCTGAAAGCTATTGAAAATTTGCTCCTGCTTTATAGCTTCAACACATCCACTATCAAAATGAGGCCTTGAGTTCTCAGATCCAGGTGATTTCATCTTACTCGGCATTGGTCTTTCTATAATCAGGAGGGTAAAGTCAGACAAGGCCACATTGTGCAGATATGGAAGCTGAGGCACAGATCTAGTACTCTCTCTTCTTATTGGACAGGCAGGAACGGAGGTCTAGAGAGGGGAAAGAACTCCTGGGTCCCCCATCTTTAAAACTTTCTTGGCTGCTGTTTCAGGGCAGCGTTAGACAAAACTTAAATCTGGATGGTTGAAGAAGCCAAAGGAGAATGACTCTCATCTTGCCCCTACCACCTTCTCACCTCTGAGTTAAGCAATAAAGCTGAAAAGATCCTTCAGCAAACAAATCTCTCCTCATTATAGAGTCCATGGACACAGGGCTCTTGGGAAACCTGAAAGGCAGGCTCCTAGGAGGAGGGCTGTCTGTACACGCCTGTCCTGGTGCCCTCTTCCTCGCTCCCACTCAGCAAGGCCAAATGCCTGCCTGGGAGCAGCAGTACAGTGGACATTCAGGTCTCCAGACCCCTGTTATGGGATCAACACTGGGTAGTGGGAGCAGCAGACTTCCAGGGTCAGGCTTATAGAAAGACACCTTGGCCAAGGAACACTTCTGTATTCCAGATTCGGGCTCATTATGGATGCTGGAAAATGTTCTGAAGAGATGGCTATTGATGGGAAAAGGTATTTCTGGTATGTGTGGTTGACCAGATAGTCCCCAGGATAGAGGATGAATTTTAAAAAGGGGAACCATTTTCTCTTCAGATAAAAAATGAAGCTCTGGCATCCCTTTTAAACTATGAATAAACTGTATCAGTAAGAAATTATTTTGCTCCTGAAATCGGGGTCAGAAACTCTTGGTGACACTTGGCTACACCAAGAGGTAGAATTGCCTTAGAGAAGGAAAATGTTTGCTTAAGTCTTAGAAAAGCAGAGAAAAGGCTTCACTTTGGCATCTTGTTTGAGAGGTAGAGAATAGTTTCTCCATTTGCATAAATGAAATATTAAAGCTTTTTGTTCAAGAACCCTGTACCTCAGGAGAAAGGAATGCAATCATTCCAGTAATTAACCATTCCCCCAAGAAGCATGGTTTATATCATACGTGAACTTCTCATTTTGATCCTCTTGGTTCCTGGAAAATGCAGTGTTTCTTTCTCCAGGGCTCTATGGAAGGAAGATGGTATTGGCAAGAAAATTTTGCTGCCTGTGATGTCAGATTCCAGAGTTTCAACTCCTGGCTGATCAGCTTTTCAGATTAGAAGTTATGATGCAGTGCAGGGAGAGACCAAAGCACTTCTGTCACATTAGCCCAGGCTTGGACTCTGGCCCTCATTGGTGGCTATGTGGCTGACCTTTGAAGAACTGGTGAGCCTCTCTGACCCTTTGGTTCCTCTCTGAGAATGGTGACAATAACTCCTACGTAATGCACAGAGTTCCAGCAGACTAGAAGTGCTCAGAAGCAACCCTTGAGTATCTTTATTTGTTCTTGGGCTGTTTTGTTTTCCAGGAATATGTATTAATAAAAGACATCTTTTAATTTTCATCAGATGAACAACAACTTCTTTCTTCCTGCTCTCTCTCTCCCTTTTTAATAATTGCTGGATGGGGCTATGGAAAAGTTGGTTTTAATGTCAGCTCTCAAAACATCTGGCAGATTAACTAGCACTTTCTACTTCGCTTAAGCTAATCACAGGGCAGCTCTTTCTACTTCTTCTGGGTAGCAATTACCATTATTTTAATTGCCTAATTAATTGTGGAATGAATTGTTTAATGAGAATCTGTCTTGCCAGAATATACACTTTATGAAGGCAGGGACAGCATCTGTTATAGGTACTGCTATGTCATTTACACAAGGCGTTGGTGCACCTGTGTGTGTGTACACACATTTGTATTAAGCACAATGGAAGCACTGTCGTAATTCTTCAGCAGCAAATGTCTACCCTTTGAAGATAAGTAATCTGCAGGATCAGCTAAAAGTTAATCCTGACCATGTATGGTAAATGATCCAGAAGAGAAATAAGATTTTTGATTAAACATCAAATGTCTTATTTACCATTCACTTAGTCGTTATTTCTTTAGCGCTGTCATAACCGGGGAAGTTGGGCTTGAGGTGGATACCTTCCGTGCTGTGTACGGGGCCTTTGGCCGGACTGAAGAGACTGACAACACAAATCAGCCACTGCAGGGAAGCCAGACAGGGCCTTGCAGCTCAAGGCAGGAGGCCTGGATTCTAATTCCAGCTGTGCTTTGAACTTGTTCTGTGGCCTTGAGCAAGTCCTTCCCCTCTCTGAGCCTTTGTGCCAGAGAGGTAAGCTTCGATGTGATCGGCTGCAATGTCTGACTTTGTGGTCCTTCTGATACTTTTCAGTAAGCCGGGGCTCTGCCCCACAGTTTCCATCTCCCGAAGCCTGTGCGACCTCTACAGGAAGGTGTGTGAACTCCGTGGCTGGGAGGTACCACATCTCCAGCCCCACCAGCCTGCCTGGCCAGTGTCAGGGCATTTACATGCTGTGGAACACGTGCAGAGTGCTTGCCACTGTCCTGAACTCTGACACTCGCATGCACATCAAAAGACCATGCGCAGCTGTAGACTTCCTTCATCTCTATCCGTTGCTCACAGGTTGCTAGGACCAGAAGAACTGGTGTTTTCCAGTGCAGCATTTCATAAACTGTGTTTAGTGAAACATCAGCATTCTGTGGGACAGAAGTAAGATTCAGAGAAAAGAAAAAGGTAACGGTGGGGAAGGAGTTGCTCCAGCCTCAAATAATATTCAAACAATTAAATTTATACAAGAATACTCAGGAAGTTTACTATGCTAATTGCATATTGAATTTCCTTGATGGAAAATAGACTCAGAGTGGCAGAAAGCACAGGCTGGGTTTTAAATCCTGGTTCTGTTACTTTCTAGGTGTATGGCCAAGTGAACTTCATTAACTAAGTTGAACTGCAAATCTCCTCATTGCAGTTTAGAGGGAAAAATGGAACCTGCCTTTGGGGGTTACCATGGGCATGAAATTCATCATTGTGTGTAAGATATTCCACACAGTGCCTTGATACACAAGTGTTAATACGCTGCCTGTGGTGTTGTCTTGTGGAGGAATTGCGATAAGCACTTCTCAAGACTGTAGTATTCTATGAACACAGTAAGGATCCATCTGCTTGTTCTGAGCACTTTGCTGTTTTGTTACCCTGTCATTGGAAGACTCCTTGGACATCTGCTCCACCTTTACATCTGGTTGCTCTAATATGAGAGTCCTGGGACATGAGGGGAACAGAGTTTGGGTGCCAAGTACAGGTTCCGAAGTCTCAAATGAGCCCAAGGGAGGGCAGGGGCAGATGTGGCTCGACAAGAGCATGTAAGGAGGAGCTGAAGAATGACGCTGGAGAAGTGGGCCTGGGGGAGACTGGGGCGGCCCCAGTGCCCGGATGAGGGATTCAGGCTTTAACTCAGGGGTCACCAGGAATTGTGCTAGGAGTCTCTGGACTTGGCTGCCTGACAGGTTCCTCGCTCTACTTTGTCACAGAACCTCTAACCAGGGCCATCCTTGAGGGTGGGAGCAGAAGCAACTTCTGCAGCTGGAAGACAAGAGAGATGGGTAAAAGTTTAGCTCCTCTCTTGGCACTGTGAACCTGGATCCCTGCTTCTCCATGTCTGTCTCCACATCTATAAAATGGGAGGAATTCCTGAGTAGACTAACCCGTAGGGCTGCAGTGAAGGGTCAGGGAGACAAAGTGTTTCAATAAACATGTTAAATTGAGATCCTACTACGTGCCAAGGTCCTGACTGTGGTCCTGGGGAAGACTGAGTGAACACCACAAGATCTCTGCCCTTGAGAGGCTCTAGTCTGCTGGTTATAGCACATTGAGCTAAGCCCATGGAAGAGCCCTTACCTGCTATGGGGGATGAGGGGCAACAGAGGGGAAGGGGCATTCAAAAAGTTTCCCTGGAGGTGAGGTCTCAGGTGAGTCCTGAGACACACTTAGGAGATAGTGAAGGGAGAAGGAGGAAATAAGCTTTGTAGTAAGTTGAAACAGCATGAACAAAGTCATGGAGAACTGTAATACCACAATATAAATGAGCACATAAGTAGCAAGTGGTATTATTAGGACATTGAGTCTAGGGTGTGGGAGGGACACTGTTCCCACCAAACAATGTCTGCATTTAAACAGAGACCATAGTGTAAAGCTACAGAAGCAAAGCTCTAACTAGAGAATTTGAGAATTAGCTAGTAAGGGCTTTTGCCTCCCCTGAAGTTGTAGCATGGTCTCTTTGGTGCATATGATAAGTTATGCCTGTGATTCTGGGTCGATTGCTGGTCCTGAACACCTAGCAGAAGGGTACCTTCTGTAGCCTGCAGACTAATGGAAGAATTAGCCATAAAAGCCATAAAAGCCAGGGGATTTAGAATGGAATCCTTGGCATCCCCTGCATGTGCAGGGCTGGCTAGGCAAGGAGGTTCCCAGAAGAAAAACAGGGAGACCTTTGCCCTCCTCCTGCACTTAGGTGAAAAGCAGAATTAGAAGAGGGCTGCCTGAGTGATCCAGCTTTTGTGCCTGCACTTCATCCCTAGGTGCTCAATCTGCCATAGTGCAGAGGGCTTAAGGCGTGCTGCTCAGGATGCTGGCAGTAAGCCCTAGCTGCTGTCTAGGCTTCAGGGCGCTACCTCATGCAAACAAGCCTGTGCCAAAGAATTGGTCTTGTTGTTACCAAGAGACAGGGGCTTGGCTATATCTCTCCATCTGGTAATGAACACTGAAGTCTGCATCCATTGGAGGAAGGGTCTCTTAGCCTCTTCACCCACCCAGGCCCCTGGAGCCTCTGAGCTTGACACCTGGTACTTCCTATCAGGAGGCCCAGGGAGGAGACAGGCAAGCCGGAGACTTGGTGGAGGGCCTGAGCCAGGTTCCCCCTTTCACTTTAAGTACTGGGTAACCTGGGATGAGTCCATTCACCTCTCTGAGTCTGAGTTTTCCAGAAAATATCCTGCCCTGTGTACTTTCAAGAACAGATAAGCATTAAATGGGAAAATATGTATGGAAGGGCTTTGCAGTAAAAGAGGTATCAGTCTCTTTATAAAATGAGGCAGCAGGGAACTGATCCTATACTGAGACTCTCTCAAAGGACTTTTAGATGCTGTTAAACAGATTCAAAAAACAGGTTTTCTAGACACCAATAATGAACTTTCTGAGAAAGAAATTAGGGAAACAATTCCACTTACAGCATTTCCTCACTCCAAAATTAAATGAACAAACAAAAACTCAAAATGTTTGTAAAGGGACATACCGAGATATTTGTGGACAAACCGTCTGATGTCTGAGTTATGATTCAAAATGAATAAAGCATAAAATGGGTGTGGGCAGGGTTGAGACAAGTTGGTAAAATGTTGCTGAAGTTGGGAGAGAGGTGCATGGGGGCTCGTTACGTGATTCTGCTTCCTCTATGCCTACATCTTCCCACAGTAAAAAGTTAGTTCAAAGAACATGGTATCTAGAGTCGGATAGACTTGTCTTCACCACTTTGTGTGTGTGTTTTAAATGGGTGTACAATAATAGCGCCGGTTCATGGGGCTTTCAGGAGGACCGTGTGTGGCAATGGTAGTCCATGCCTGGAATGTGGCAAATGCATGGTGAATCATGGGTCCCTTCAGAGAGCCCTATCAATTGTCATTTGTCACCTGGTGGCCCTGCTGCATGAACTTGGATGCTCTGGGCCAGGGGCCATCTCCTTGAGGGGCAGAGGAGGCTTATCATACCCTAGGTTTCTCCAGTGGTTGGTGGGCAATCAGCACAGTGGGCTCTCCTAGTGGAGATGAGGAGAGCTAATGCCATGTCCCTACTGTCCTCCTTTCCATCTGGGAGAGACGAGAATGGGTGCCCAGAATGCACTTGGATTGAGCGTCTTCTCAAAACCAAGCTCTGAGCTTTACAACTGCTGTGAGGTTAGAGCTTTCACTCAGAGAGGTTAAGAAACTTGCAAGTAGTTGCATCGATAGTGGATGAAGAGGAACGAGGGAAACGGTAAGTGACAGAGAGGAGAGTAAGAATGTATAGAGATGAGCTGGGCATGGCGGCGCACACCTGTAAACCCAGCACTCGGGAGGCTGAGGCAGGAGGATTGCTGTGACTTCGAGACCAGCCTGGGCTACATAGTGAGTTCCAGGTCAGTCTCATCTACATAGTGAGACCCTGTCTCAAAAAATACACAAAGAATATATAGAGATGGGGAGCAAGCGACTCTGGAGGAATGGAAAGGAGGTTGGAAGGGCTGTGGGAGGAGAGGAAAAGGAGGAATTAGGGGAAAAGAGCCCTCTGCCCTGGGCCTAGTGTGGGGAGCAGTGCGGGCAGAAGTAGTCAGTCTCTCCTTATCCTCCCCTTTCCTCCAGGGAAGCAGTTCTCCACCCCTCAACTGCTGGCCAAGAAGAGTGAGAAATGGGAAGACCAACCCGCTCCTGTAGTTTGTGTTTTCGGAACAAGGGCAGAACAGTCAGCACTGCGGAGCGGACAGCACCCCAGCCAGAACCTCTGCTGGCCATTGCTACATTTCCTGGATTTTATTGCGCGGTGCTGGGTCTGAGCCCTGCCCACACTCCCCGCTCGTGTCCTTTAGGTGACCATTCTTTGCTGGCTTGGAACCTGACCTGAATGACCAGGGCGTGGGATGTAGTCTCTCACCAGGCAAGTGTGACATTTGGCAGGACGCCTTCCATCGCCAGTCCTGGACAGGTAGCCCAGGTTTCCAACAGTGTGAGAGAAGATCCTCGTCAAAAAGGCGCAGGGCTTGGACAGATAAGACAATGTATATGAAATCCTTTGAGAGTAATAGGTGGTGTGTGGATTAAATTGGGTCAACAAGCCAGAGAGATCTGTTCTTGCAGCCTTAAGGAACCCCAGACCTGCCACTCATCAATGTGTGACCTTGAGACAATCTGTTCACTGCTGTGAGCCTTCATTCCTACAGCTGAAATGTGGATTACCTGCCTGACCCAGAAGCTCTGTGAGGACTTGTAGGATGGTGGATGTGAATGTGCATGCTATCCCCATGTGAGGGCTTATTCTTGAATACCAGTCTGGCCAATGACTACGTTTCTCTGTTGAGCCGTCATTTTTATCCAGGCATGACACACAGAACCTCCACATGAGGGCAGTCCTAGATCTCCTCTAAGTTATCGATGAGCACTTTATCTCTTGCCCTGTTCAGTGTCCATCGTGTGAGGCACATGTGCTCAGTTATTCTCTGAACATAATATGGAAGATGAGTGTCTCTTAAAAAAATGTAATTGCTTTCTTTTTAGGAAGAAAATGAAAGTTATTTAATCCATCTTTATTGTCTTTTGCCTCAGCTATCGGGGGGCTCAGAGCGAAACTTAACTCAATGATAGCAATTGGTTATTATATCATTTTCTTCCTCTGCTTTTTACCTGACTTTAATTTCTCTGCTTTGTTGGAGTATACTATTGGTCAAGCTGATTCAAGGAAAAGAGTTGTGCTAATGGGCCTGAAACAATGCACTATGGCCAGCAAGAGCACTCCTAACAAAGATGTGGATACACTTTATATTCTGTATTAATTTCCCGTGGTTAAGCTACCACATATGTAGTAGCTTAAAACTATAGAAATTTATTCTCACAGTTCCAGATGTCAGCAGTTACTAATTGGGGTGAACCGCAGGTAGGGGGTGGGACAAATGAAGTACAGCCATTTCTGCTTGGGAACAAGGAAAGTGAGGTGCACAGGACACTTTTGGGCACAAATAATAGAACTTCCAACCAACTCAGGCAAATGGGAAATTAATTAATTCACATAAGCCAATTATGAGATGGATAACAAATGAACAAATATAGGTTTGGTAGCTTCATAACTGCTCAGTTCTGGGCTCATCTTTCCAGCTTTGCCACTGAGAAGAAAGAGTTGTTTACTCTCAGATTTCATTTCATGCTCTAGGAGAGAGCTCTGATTGGCCTGTCTTGAGTCACATGCCTGATATTTGGGCCAATCCCTGCGGTCCATGAGATGAGATACTATGACCCAGTTTACTCATCTCTGTGGCCTGAGAGAGGAATTTTAAGTAGTGGGAATAGAAAGAAGGAAAGGAACAGTAAATATCAGGAAAGCAAAACAAGAGCTTTCCTACCACATCAAACTTTGGGCACTGTGATACTCTGCAAGATAACCTCAGTGGCCTTGCATTCTAACATGGATCCCCTTCGCAATGTGACTCAGCTGCTCTTCTCATCTCTGCTTAAAGCTGGGCTTGATCATGTGATTGGCTTTGGCTGGTGGCCATTTGCCAATGTCGTATAAGCAGAGGTTTGGTAGGTGCTTATGTACTAGGGCTTGCTGTCTCTCAGGGAATTTGTTTATGTGTAAAGAAGTCCAAGTTAGTCTCTTGGAGGATTTTTTTTTTTTTTTTTTTTTTTTTTTTTC